TGCATGTAATGTTTAAAAATAACAATCATTCATGTTTATTTTTATAAACAATAAATTACAATCCTTATTACATAAGCCAGTAGAAGAAAGTAATCTTTGAAAAGCAAAATTCTTTCAAAGGAAATTCAAACAAACTTAAATTATATTTTAGACCATATCATCACGAAGAAGATATACGTACATACAAGTAAGTGTGGCGTTATGTAGGTATCAGGTGGCACATTTCGCGATTACATGAACAGAACACGTGTTCTCCATAACCATATGTGTCAAGTGTCGTACCTCACAACACAACAGATGCATATAAACACTTGTGGCTCTTTAGTTAAGAAATATTATAAATTAGTTTAAGCGATATGTTGTATAATTGTAGACTTGTCGCAGGACGTTTAGTATTCAATTGCCAAACGATTTCTCCATCTTTGTTGGTCGAAAATCTAATGATTTCATCAATACCCTATATTAAAGTGCTCATGAAAAAAACAAAATTTAAAGTGCTCTACACTTTGGTACCCTTTGTGAACAACTTTTTGCTTCGTTGACCGAGTTTCTAGGATTTAAGTCTTCGTCTTTCGAAATTAAATTTGTCTAAAACATTTGCAAAAACTATTTTCCTTTTAAGAACCAAACAAAAAAAAGTTATATAGAGCGAAAAAAATAGTAGATGAGATCAAATGGTTTAAGAGAAAAGGCACTACCAAGACTTGCTTCAACGCTTGATGATGCAGAGGCAAATCTTCTCCAGTGAACCATGATTCAAATTATGCAATATTAATTTATGTACCGAAGCTTTGGTTTTGGCCTTAAACCGATATATATGGTCCCCAATATCCAAGGACTAGGCAAACCAGGACTCGTATTCTTTATCCTTCATATTTGGTATAGCGAACGTAGAAAAATATAAAGTAAGCAGAAATTTGAAAAGCAAACGATAAATATAGATTTCTTATTTGTCTGGCTCGTGAAACTATTACGGCTGATCTATAAATAAAATTCTTGTGCTGATAATTGAACGTGTGAAGAAAATGTCGGGAAATAATATTGGTTTAAATTACATGGTCCAAAACCATAGTTTCCCGAATGTTTGGAGATATACATAGGCTTTACAATACCTAAGATGAAATTCCAATGAATTAAAACACGATATTTTGTTTAATATTCTTTTAATGGTAAATGTAACTCATTTGGATTATTAGAATTGTAAGTAATACATCGCAATAATGGTTTTAAAAGCAAAAGTTTTGCATAAGAAAAAGGGATGATAAAATAACCTTTAGGACCTTTCGTGAGTGCCGTAATGTCGACCTGCACCAACGAACAGCTTCCGTGCATTAAACTTCTCTCTGGTATTTATATATTTCCACGTTGGTTACGTGGATAAATCCACGTCATTTCCTGATGTTTCCTATGGTCGTATTTTTTTTTCAAAGGCTGGCAGCAAATACTGTAGTTTATTGGATAAAAATACACACATTGCGCGGAACAATTATTTAAATGATTTTTAAAATTATTTTAATATTATATATATTGATATACTTAAATGATGTTTAAGATTTATGCTCACAATTTCTATTTATATAAATTCAAACATCATTTTTAAAT